CACAACACACACGGGCTAGTTAACGAAACGAAATGTAAAAAGAGAGGTTTTTTTTTCTGGTGTGTTCGATGGAGAAAACGTCATCGTCGTCGATTCGTCGAATACTTTTCAAGTTACCAATAACGGCCGCGTGACGAAACACGCTGCTGTTGCTCTCCTACCCCTCCCCCTCCTCCTCTATATTCAAGCTGCACCGAATGAACACTCCTCCTCGCGGCATAGTTAAGCTGTTAATTACTTCCTATGGTCCCGCATCATTCCTCTCATTAAGGGTATCATGACGTTCGAACATGGTAGAAGTCGGCCTTTAATGCCGATTAACGAACGTTTCGCTCTAATAACGGGAAATCGAGAAATTCGTTAAATAGGAAGCACGAAAGCGAATCGTGGAGATCCAATGACTATACACAATTCGTTCGATCACGCGTAAGAGCGTGCACCATACAGAACCCGATAAAGCTCGATTAAACGATATTTACGACTTCTCTCTATCGAGTCGAGTTACACCGGGAGAACTATATAACATTGGCTATCCAATCGAATATAGCCGCGCCTCCATGTCGTTGAAACATTTTCATTCGATAGATAAGGACGTTTCGAACGAACGAACGAACGACGATTACGAATCGACGAAATGTGTGTTGCACAATAAATGTAAGCGAGAAACAGAAACGAGCGTACCGAGAGAACCGCGGACAAACAGCAACAGCAGCGAACGCGAGAGAGCCGCTTTCGGTTATCCCGACCATGTATACACACGCTCTCGTCCATCTCGTACGAACTTCGTCCCGTTATATTCCCTTAACTATCACGGTCACCACACCATTTACTATCGACATCGTCATCACTGTGAATTCTTCTCTCCGTTCAACATCATCATCCTAACCTACTCCATTGTTCCTATGTACAACGCCTCTGTATATACATACATATACGTATATATATTCATCGTATCTACAAGGCGCAACTAACAACGATGCACACAAAAACTCTGCGCACTACTACTCGGTTGTTACGAGAGTCGGATGCACGTAGAACACATACATTTACCAGCGACGTGTCATAGGGAACGCGGCGAACGCGTCTCCCGGCGCAGCTGACCCCGAAAACAACGAGGTTTCCGCGATGAATAGAGGAGAAGAGAGTATCTCGCGTCTCGACAGACAGAGAAAGAAAGAGAGAGAGAGAGAGAGAGAGAAACGCGTCGCGGTTTGTAGACAGAATGAAAGACCATGGAACTGGACAGAAAAGGTTGGAGGAGAACGCATCAAGAGCGCACGGGACACCTCTCGGCTCGCGTGCTTGATCACAAATTTGTGTTGTAAACACGAGAGAGATGTGGGCCATCATCGATGACACAGAGCTGATGATGCGCCCCTGTACACGTTAGGCGGCGCGCGGCGAACCGCCACGGGTAGCGCGCACGCGCATGCGCACACGTACACTTGCGCAGGCGGTGGCGACTAATCGAGAATCTACGCGCACCTACACTCACGCACGCACGCCTGTTGCTCACGCACGTGCGTCACGCGTATTCGTATTCGTGTCACGCACACGTGTGCGCTACATTCTGGCTGTGACGCACACACGTCCTTAAAGCGTGGGTACATGTATGCGTTTGTAACGCGCGTGTACACGACGACTCCACTCCTCTCATGGCCACGCATTGCGTAATCAGCACCAGCGGCAGAGTCACGCCGAGGTACAAAACGAACGACAAAGCGGGGCAAATACCGCTGCGTTTCGAGAGCCTGAAATCCTCGCTCGTCCTCCCTGTCACTCTATCTCTCTCACTCTCTCTATTTCTCGAACTCGCTTATTCTCTCTGTCTTTCTCTCTCTCTCTCTCGTTCACTCGCTCACTTACTCACTCAGGTACGCGCCCCTTCCCCTCCCCCTGACAGGCTTGTGCCTTCTACCTTTTACTGTTTCGACGCTTCCGCGTATAGAGGATGCGGGTTCGTACACACATCACATGCACGGTTAAAGCTAAAAGGTGGTGTGTGCCTGTCTGTCTTCTCTACTAGGTATTCTGGGATCCATTAATAGCGTTTAAAGGCGCTAGTTTTTATCCTAGAATTATTCTAACCGTGGTCAGCCGAGAGATACGTAACGATAGAGAAACATTCCACTGAGTCATCGTTCAAGGATGTACGT